CACTTTAAAGTATTAACAATAGCAGAAGAATATAAAGTGCACCATGCACATCTAGAAAGAAGATGGCTAATACTGTACTCAACCTTAACTCTGCCCCATTGTGGATTTTTACATTGTGATTCAGTCTTAAATTACGTTACAGGTTGGAAGTTCATGAATGCTCTCCAGTGTACCTAAGTGACTGCGTAGCTGGCTTTGCCATATGTAGCATCTTACTGAACAGTGTACTGCTCTGTGATGTTTTGGACTCTGTTGCAATTGTTTGGGAAATAAATACTAAGACACTGTTACACAGAGTAGCATGTAACTTAGCAAAAGTAGTTTGGTATGACAAGTCCTGTGGACTTTAATATAGCTTAGATAGGTAGTTGTATTCTCAGGATCTCTAGGCCTTAATTATTTTCTTATAACATATTGTATACTGTGAACTAAACCTGAAGAACGCTGTAACACTGCTTGAAATAGCAGTATACAGTGACTGCTGATGAGGACCCTGCTTTTATTCTTCTGTATGTTGATCTCACTGAATGACTCTTGTGTAAATTTAGAGGTAATTTCACAAGGGAAGCCTGTGCTACCAAAATGCGTGCTCTGATGAAGTAGTTCTCTGTAAAAGGGTTTACTAGTGTTGTATCAGACTGTTGAAACTATTTAAATAGGTTCAAGTGAGTTGCGAGATACTGAGGCTTAAGTGGTTGCAGGGGGGGAAAAAGGGTCAAAATTAAATGCGATACTACTGTGTTTCGGTGGCATCTGCTTAAAAGGGCAGAGTTAAGGCTGAGTTTTCAGTCGTAGGAGTTCTTCACAATATAATTTAGGTTGCAAAGGTCCTTTGGAGGTCATCTGGTCTAGCCCCCTACTCAAGGCAGGGTGAACCTCCGAGTTAGATCAGGTGGGTGGATCATTTGAAAAGCTGTATTAACAGGTATTTTAAGTGGCGTTTCTACATGTAAAGATGTTAAGTTTTTGGCAACTTAGGTGCCAGTAGAATATCTTCACTGACAGACTGTAAAACGCAAGAGAAAGTAAAAGTACCTTTTACTTTAAGGTACACCTGAGTGAGGAAAGGGCTTTAGGAATTCCTTGATAGACAATGGCTCATTCATACCCTAACTAGGTATGAATACTAGGGCAGCATAGCCTCCCTTTACAATGACAGCGTTAGGTTCATAAGTTAAAAATTTGCCCAGTGCACACGTTTCTTACAATTATTTTTGGATGCACCTAACTCAGACGAGTCAATTCACTTTCACTAGAACGTTTAAAGGCATTTCGCTCTTTCCTTAATGTGTGTTAGTTTTGTTCCCTCAGCTACCTCAGTGCTTAAATGTAAATAAACATTTTTTCTCAATTATTCCATTAGCATCAGAATCTTTACACACACACACACACACACACACACACACACACAATTTGTCTCTGTTCCTTTTCTCCCTACTGCTGTGCTTTCCATCCTACCTTACACCATTTTTTTCTTTTCTGAGAGTTCCTGAAAGTATATTTTCTCTGAACTGCACATATATGACTTGGAGGAGATCAGCCTGGAAAATAGAAGTTTTGGGAAGTTTTGAGGGACTCAAGCAGGTGTTTAGTATGTAGACCACTACATAGCCTTATGTGTAGCAATCAGTACTCTTTGGGGTTTGATTCAGCCTCAAAGGCTTAAAAGCAATGCACTTTGTGACTGAATGCCACAATACCATTTATACACAGCTTGCATTTGTTATAGAGCATCAGACCAAATGGGATGCTACATTCAGAAGTTTGAACTACTGCTACTACTCTCTGAAGGATGCGTTTAATTTAGGACAAACTACAACGATATTTTCTGGTGAATTTCTTTTGTTGAAGAAGGAGATAAAGCATTAATAAGATACTAGTTTCAATATCAAAAGCTAGATTGGTGGGAATGAGGGGGGGCATAAGTCTTCTCGCCTTCGTGGTCAGGTCAGGTAGATATTCCTGATTTTTGTGTTGCAGTTTTCCACTATTTTTATAGAGTAAAACAGTTCAAGCTCTGTGAAGCTTTTTATTAGATGGGTTTTTATTGCTGGATTATATCAGCAGAGTGTAAAGAAAATACAGATAGAGAGGTAAATTAGGAATGATTTAAAGCTTCCTTCTTTTTCTATTTCTGCAGCTTGCTTCAGGAGAGAATTTCTGATAGTGAGGAAGGGCGCTTTGGACAGGTTTTTCAAAAGATGCTTCGGTGTCAGAAAACTGTTTGCCATCGTTCTACATTCAAAAGTTGCCTCTAAAACAAAAGGCTTTTACCAGCAACAGGAGTCTTTCTCTTTTAATAGTATTTATTACCTTGCTAGCAGACATTGCTTATACAAGGGGAAGCTTTTAACAGTTTCTATTTACTATTTTTAACCTCTAATCACTGCAGGGATCATGCAGCTC